CGCGTTAAGAGTGACAAAATATTCTCTGTATCTACTGGAACCGAGCCACATAGCTTGTATTCCACTATTTGCATTCACACCTGGGCTGTGTATATATATTGCCTTGGTTTGGCTCTGTAAAGATGTGTATAAGAGACAGTTCTTGGAGTGTAGCTTAATTGTAGTCCAAGAGAGCTCAAACTTATTATGCACGTATATACACGCAGCACTCTCAATCATTTTTCAACATGGTACCGGTACTGTCTCCCAGAGGTGAATCGAGGAAAATAGAGTGTCTTACCGCACCCAAGGACATAATATTACGGTGGGAACACCTTAATTATCACTTATACTTTTATCAAAATCGAACACTAGGTCATTCGCGATGCACAGAACAGCTGATCACTGAGGCTGACAAAGACTTGAAGCAGCGCATGCGCAAAATACATAATTCATGAGATGTTACCAAACTATCCTACGTTACGCTCACATATATATATATATATACATACATATATACATATACTGTATATACATACATATATATATATATATATATAGGCCTATATATATATGTCAATAGACAGACAGAGGCTACAACAAGTATATTATAAAACTATTAGTAGCGTAGTTGCATAATGTCTATCTATTGTTTGCTAATAATCTATAGACAGATACTATATACAACCTATTTAACAAACTAACAGTTAACTTGTATTATTCACCTACTTAATATAATACATATATTGATAGAGGCTACAACAAGTGTGTTATAAAACTATTAGTAGCATAGTTGCTTAATGTCTATCTAAGTCTGCTTATAATCTCTAGACAGATACTATATACAACATATTAAAAAACTAATAATTAATTTGTATTATTCACCTACTTGATATATATTATAAATATATTGATAGAGGCTACAACAAGTGTGTTATAAAACTATTAGTAGCATAGTTGCATAATGTCTATCTAAGTCTGCTTATAATCTATAGACAGGTACTATCTACAACCTATTAAAAAACTAACAATTAATTTGTAGTATTAACGTACTTAATGTATATTATTAATAGATAAATAGAGGCTACAACAAGTGTATTATAAAACTATTAGTAGCATAGTTGCATAATGTCTATTTAAGTCTGCTTATAATCTATAGACAGATACTATCTACTACCTATTAAAAAACTAACAATTAATTTGTATTATTCACCTATTTAATATGTATTACAAATACATTGATAGAGGCTACATTATGTGTACTAGAAAACTATTGGTAGCATAGTTTGCATATTGTCTATCTAAGTCTGCTTATAATCTATAGACAGATACTATCTACAGCCTATTAACAAACTAACAATTAACTTGTATTATTCACCTACTTAAAATATATTATAAATATATTGATAGAGGCTACAACAAGTGTGTTATAAAACTGTTAGTAGCATAGTTGCATAATGTCTATCTAAGTCTGCTTATAATCTATAGACAGATACTATCTGCAACCTATAAAAAAACTAACAATTAATTTGTATTATTCACCTACTTAATATATATTATAAATATATTGATAGAGGCTACAACAAGTGTGTTATAAAACTATTAGTAGCATAATTGCATAATGTCTATCCAAGTCTGCTTATAATCTATAGACAGATACTAGCTGCAACCTATTAAAAAACTAACAATTAATTTGTATTATTCACCTACTTAATATATATTATAAATAGATAAATAGAGGCTACAACAAGTGTGTTATAAAACTATTAGTAGCATAGTTGCATAATGTCTATCTAAATCTGCTTATAATCTCTAGACAGATACTATCTACAACCTATTAACAAACTAACAATTAACTTATATTATTCATCTACCTAATATATATTATGAATAGAGAGATAGAGGCTACAAGAAGCCTACACAAAAACTACCTGTTTTATGGTCTATTATGCACCTATTAAAATTAGCACTAATAAAGCCTATTAACAACTACTAGCAATGGTGTAGCTCTCAGATCTACCATAAATAGCGCTACAACAACTATAATAAAACTACTTGTGTCGCTAATTATAGACAGTACCTATCTATCAACTATATATTTTATGTAGCCATAAAATTAATCTTAAAATCCTTAGTAGTCGAGATAAGAAAATCTACTACCAGCCTACTAAGCCTACTAAGACTAGAGCTACTTCTACCAA